TCCTGAACAATTAATCAAGCTTCACGGAGACTGGTGTTCGGGCGCATTTCAAGTTTATTCATCACTGCCCCTGTCCACCCATACACAGGTGGCTGACATTATGGCCGCAGGCCTTTTTAACAAACACATCAGTGTAGTGTCTTTACTCACCGAATAGTTTCTCTCCTTTTCCCACCTCCTAACACTTAAGTGGTTTTCATATAGTTTAATTTTATTAGCCTTTTATTTCAATTTCAACATTTCTAGAATTATGGCATGTTTGGGCCATAATTATTAATGGTTAAATAATTTTGGGGACAATTACTTGAGCTTGTAATTAATGAAGATTGTTTCAGCCCAAACGTGTCTTATCTGAGTCACAATATTGCTTGAATTAAGGTCGATAATTTGGAGTTTTGATTACAATCAAATAGGTTAATTATTGACTGTGAGCGCATTGCGTAACTCTGCATCTCATGTTCGCGTCTCCTCATGCACAGTTAGTCTCTTATTCTAGTTGCATGCAATCCCATCATTAAGTTTTGTTTCCCTCCCTCCCTGGGGGCCAACTACTTGAGCTTGTAATTAATAAAGATTATTTCAGCCCAAACGTGTCTTATCTGAGTCACTCACAATATTGCGTGAATTTAGGTCGATAATGTGGAGTTTTGATTACAATCAAAGGGAGTGTTCTTGACATATCTAGAATCTTAAGAAGTGTTTTGTAAGATAAGGTGATGAGCCTTCAGTCTTATTTTAACCTCTTTACAATAGGTAGTTTATGAACAACAGTACTGACTAACTTCAATTTTTGTCATGTGCAAAACCCTCAAGGAGATGAAGTTTGTGTTCGGTAAATTTATACTTTTTAGATGTTCAAGAGATTTCCCAAAATAATTGTGGGCAAATGATATCAAGATATTAAAAATGCAAATTTTCCATCTTTCCTGGTCAAGTATGTTTACTTGGCAGGTCAGTTACTGACTCGTCCCAAGTCATCTTCATACACACAGCATGGTGCAAGGGGTGATGGGAAAGGGAAGAAAGGCTATATTTCCTAGTAGTGTATTTCTGTTATTCAGGAGGGCTCGATATAGACTTGCACCCTTTTTTGAGCAAGGCTTTCACTGTCTGTACTGCTTTTGGACAATGGGGGCTGCTTGTAGATTGGACAAACTCATAAGATTTGGCAAATCCGCTGAATTCTGAGCTTCTGAACCAAGGACCATTGTCACTTATCAGCAGATCTGGCATTCTATGCCTTGCAAATTGGCCCTCTAGGTGACTTATGCTTCCTGGTAGTGAGGTCATTCAGTTTGGTTACTTCAATCCATTTGGAGTAGTAATCTGTACACCTTAGAGCTAGTACTGCAGTGCTCCAATTTTTGCGCACAGTCTTTTCAAGGATAATCTTTCGCATGTGTTTTCTGGTACTGGCTGCACTTGAAGCACTTGGAAAACCATTCTGTTTTTTGGGAAACTATTCCAGGCATCTCGAGCATGTTGTTTGCACTTTAGTATTCCTTTGTGGGACTCGTGGATTTTCTCCAGCATTTGAGCTCTGAGTGCATGTGGAAAATTAGCTTTTGATCTTTGAATAACAGGCTTCTGAAAGATTTCCTTTTGTTCCTTTTCCCAGTGTTACTCAACTTCTTTTCCTAGTAGAGCTCACATCAGCCATATTAGGCATGGAATTGGCTAGGTATTGCATGAACCCAAAGAAGAAGGTGTGTACCTTCCCAGGAATTGGCATGAGACCATCTCTAGTAAGTAGGTGGCCTATATAAGGCACAGCATCTTTTCTAATGCGATACTTCTGTGGGTTGAGCTTCAAGTTTGCTTCCTTCAATCGCTCAAGCACTTGTTGAATGTGCTTATCATGTTCTTCAGCATCTCGTTCCCAGACCAGTATGTCATCAACTATTGGCTCTGCCCCTTCAATGTCTTCTAACAGGTTAGACATGGCCTTCTGGAATACTTCCAGGGCTGATTTGATGGCAAGTGGAAGT